TATGAAAACATTATTTAAAAATATCTAAGGAATGGTCTTTATAAAGAATTATTATAAATGTTGCCTGGTACAGTGGCTCACAACTGTAATCCTAGCACCTTGGGAGGCTGAGGCGTGTGGATCACCTGAGGTCAGGAGTTCGAGACAAGCCTGACCAATGTGGCAAAACCCCGTCTCTACTAAAAATACAAAATTTAGCTGGGTGTGATGGTGCATGCCTGTAATCTCAACTACTTAGGAGGCTGAGGCAGGAAAACTGCTTGAACCTAGGAGGCAGAAGTTGCAGTGAGCCAAGATCACAGCACAGTACTCCAGCCTGGGCAACAGAGAGAGACTCCATATTAAAAAAAAATAAAATCGTGATTAATTTCATCTATAATTCGATATTTTCTTTAAGTTAGATAAACCTGTTTTCATTTTTTTTTTTTTAGTTTGAGCTTTGAATATCTTATACATAGACTACAAACCTCATAAAAGTCATGGGGATGATTTGTTAAATTAATATCTTCTATAAGATTTTTTTTTCCTGTGATGAAAGGAAAGCAAAAAAAGAGAAAACTTCAAGTAAAACTATTACTCAAAAGCAATTCTTATCAAAAATATTTTTGAATTGCTTATTTCTGAATGGCAGCAAATGCGAAAAACAATTAAAACGAGAAATCCAAAGACAAAAATGACTCGAAGAAAAACACCCGTTTTTGTGTTATGGTTTTTTTATGATGACTAGAGAGAAAACAGCTTTTAAGAAACACAAAATGCTAATTATCATGTTTAGTTAAGAGAAATGATTATCAGCAAAAGTAAAAAAGGAAGGAGAGGCACTATCGTAATGAAAATCAAATCACATAATGTTGGCATTCAACTGAATGCATTTTATCTTGTTCAAAGCAATCCAAGAGGTAGACAGGAAAAAAAGAAAACAAAAAGCTTGCAAACATACAGAATTAGACAACAAAACAGTGGGAGCTCAAGCTGCTGCCTTGAACAAAGGTAAGATATGGGGAGAGTGAGGAAATGACTGCTGTGAATAAAAATCTCTGCCGTATTCTGTTTTGTAGATACTCTTTTAGGTTTGGAGAGGATTAAGACAGAGCTTCGGGAAAGCCATTAAAACGATACGAGAAGAAGCCATTCAACGTATTTTCCTTGGATCAGTTATTAGCTCTATGGATGTACAGCTAATAACAAGGAACATCATCTTACTTAGGATTTTAGGCCCAAGGGCAAGCATAGATCTCTTTAAATTTGGAAATAATCACTGTAGCCCAGCAAAAGTGGAGAAGGTCAACTAGATTCCATCTGTTAATAGAAAGAGGAAAGTCATACTCACAATGTTACTACCTGCAGATTACATTGATTCATTTGGAGACCTAAATTCTCTAGAAAAATAAAAAAAGTTCCTATTGCAGTCCCTTCCACAGTTTTAAAGACTTGAGAGGTTTTGATCCAAAATGCACTAATATAAATAAGGTAATAATATTAAATATCTCTATGTTGACAGCTAAACCTCCAACCACATCCGTACCTCCTATTTCCAAAAACTTAAGACAACTGTAGCCCTCCTTTAAGATAAGTGAGTCCAGGAAGTGCAGAACTTACCTAATAAGAAAAAGGTTTCTTTTATGTCTAAATTAAATCATGCATCTTGCATTTTAATTCAGTAAATATACTGAATTCCCATTCTGAGTCAAGCATTGAACTAGTTGTTCTATGGAACACGAAGATTGGCGGTGCATGACTCTTCGTCTCAAGGATCTCATCATATCTAGAATGTGTGGAAGATATAGCAGCTGCCACTGATCTGCCACCCATGTGAGCTAGGTCCCAGGCATCACAGAATCCTGCAGCACTAGTATCATCATCCCTAAATTAAAGATGAAGTCACTGAGGAACATAAAGTTGAACTTTTGCAAGGTCATACAGTTCACTGAAAAGTTGTTTCCAGTCTAAGTCTTTCTACCACGTCATACTTTACACAATAGTCTCTACCATTTGCTTGGGTACTAAGTTACTTCTCTGTCTTCTTCCTTAAAGTTGAAAACTCCTCACTCCCTTACCATTCTCACCTGATTATTATTATCTACAGCTTCTCATTCATTCTTTCAACAGGACTGAATGCCTGTAGGATTGAGTTGTAAGAGTGAGTGCTATGGAATGCCTGAAAGTTTCCAGTCATTCCTTCCAGCATCCCATGCTTTACAGAAAGACAGAGAAAAACTTCCTGAGTCCTAGGAGAATGTAAGCCTACTTTTACAGCTGGTACATTCCACATACGCTCTTGGCAGCTGAAGTCTTCTGGAAAGCATTCAGGGCCAACGGGCTGAGGGATCAGGAGCTGATGTGTAGACACTGAATTCATTACTGGAAAATATAGCATTTTATTCAAAGAACTGTCGTTGCTGCTGCTGCTGACATTGTTGATGCAGGCTTAGGCATTGAGAAGGAAAAATAGTCTATACTGTTAGCTCGGGCTATAAAGTCAACAGGAAAACTCTGAACATTCATCAGAAGCTTGACTTAACGAAGAAGCACTTTAACATTCTCACCAGGCATTGTCTGACATACACCACAGCATGAATTACCCTCTGGCTTTGCCTAAAATTTTATTTTCTTCCCCACTCCTAAGATTCATTTGATATGTAGGTCACAACACTGAGATAAAATGAGTCTTGACATTCTTGAGGAAGCCTATTGGTGAGAATTTTACTTCGTTCTTTAATTATCCGTGGAGAACAGGGATAAGAAGATTAGCAAGACAGTGCCTTATAAAATCTACAAACAGTGGATACCTTTCACTCATTCAAACAACTGGAAATTATTTTTAAAATAATTTTAAAAGTCTATCAAATATTAACAGCAAAGACTTAACTCAAAAAGGCTTATTTAACTGTCTGCCTTAGCACTTAGCACTGTGCCTGGCACTTAATAGTTTTTGCAGAACAGATGAACCTTCTACACTACTAATTCTTATTGTTCTATAGAGGACATTTTTATTTATTTTACCTTTTCAACATATTTGCAGTGAAACAACATCCATTCAGAAAATGTATAAAGTTGTTTATTCTTCATGATAATCCTAAAATACTATGAATCCTGCAATGTGTTCTAATTTTTCAAATACATACTATACTCAAAATAATTTTAGTTTTGAGTGCATTTAATCCTATTCTACTGCTCTATAAACCTCAACCAAGTATGGTCACTCACTTAGCCAGAAGGATGAGTATCCCTGAGCGCTTGTTCCAGGTGTATTAATCACCACATATTTGGTGGCTTTAAACAACAGAAATTTATTCTCTCGCAGTTCTGCAAGCTCAATGACCACATCAAGTTGTTAGCAGAGCCATGCTTGGTTTGAGACTGAAGAACAACCTGTTCCAGACCCCTCTCTCAGCTACCAGTGCTTCCTTCAGTCTTTCCTGCTCCTTGGACACATCACTCCAATCTCTGCTGCCATCTTCACATGGTGTTCCTGTCACTGTGTCTTTGTTTCTGTCTATCTCCAAATTCCCTCTCCTTGTAAGGACACCAGTTATGGGACTTAGGGCACCCCTTCTCCCAGTAGCACCTCATCATAATTTGATTCCATCTCCAAAGGCCTTATTTTCAAGAAGGTCACATTCCCAAGTTCTGAATGGACATGCATTTTTGGGACACTATTCAAGAAATTCAGAAAGAACTTTAGCACTTTTGGATTGGTATCAAAATTCTCATGTCAGCAGATGAATTGTTTTATTTAATAGCATGACTGTGTTCGTTAACACAGATAATACATTGAGTTGAAGAAACTAGATAGATCGTCTTGGTCTACAGAATGGTCAGGGATAGTCTTCAATGACAGCTCAACTTTATCAAAGGAATGTGTGTGGAGGGTTGATCTAGTATCATCAGCAGCAGGTTTTATTCCCTCAAATACAATTGCTCAGTTACAATTCTGCTATGTGAATAGCTCCGAGGAATAAACATTCCTTGACAGTGATTGCAGAAAGGCACATTTATAGCCAGCCATTTTCGTCTGTGACGATTTGATATGCTCTTTTCTGAATGGGTACCCAGTTGTCCCTTCCCAGCTCTTCCTCCTATTTCTCATCCCATCATGTTGCTTCTAACCCGTCTCAGTCCTTCAAAAAAATCAGACATACCATGGGTGAAGCCATCTAAGTTTGCAAGAAGAAAACCATCTTGGCACATGTCCTTCGTTTTCCTACTCATTATTTTCTTCACACTTGCTATTTCCTACATCTGGGTTGCGTTTTCTTGCAATATTTAAATGATCATCTTCTGACCTGATTCTGGTCTCTGCTTCAATCTCAGTTCCTCACAGAGGCCTGCCTTGGCCACCCTGTCTAAAGTAGCTCCCCGTTTCCATCACATTTTATTCCTTTACCTTGTTTGTTTCTTTCCTTCATATCACTTATTCCAAGCAGAAATTGTATATAATATTTATAATGTAGATAAAATATAATACAATTTATTAATTATTTACTGCCTGTATACCCTACTACACGATAAGTGCTTGAACTTTATTATTTTGCCTATTCAGTGCACTGTTGTATTCCTTGCACTGACAAATGTAATAGTAGCCTGACCAATAGCAGATGCTTAATATGTGTTGCATGATTAAATAAATTACATGATTCGTTGTACTTTATGTCTCTGACAGATTCCTACCTGTACAGACCATTGGTCTGAAAAGTACACATGAACAACTGTGTAAATCACCACAGTATTTTCTCCCTGAAATGTATCTAATTCTTGTAGAATACCAGGGTTAGATAAACAAATAGAAAGAGCTGCTTTCTTCATGGCGAGTTCATCAGCCCATGCAAATACACAATCAGTGATAGATAAATTGGCCAATCATTCACTCATTGGGGATTCCACTATCTTCCAACAAATTTTTTTTTTCATTTTAGCATACAATCGGAACAAAGGGCTACATTTTACTAATAGTAACCAGTTGTAATAACATGTTAATCACGTACATATACACTATCTACATTTTACTCTTATTAAATTTTTCCCACAGTATTTAGCTAAGCATGCATTTTAGAGCATCCATTTGTCACACTCTTCTGCCATCCCTGAGTTGGAACCAAATGAGAAAAGACACAGGTGACAAATAAATGGAGACCAAAATGATAACCTGTTTCTTATCAGCTGATGAGAGCATGGCTTAGATCTACAGTCAAAAGGACTTCCTAACACCCCATCCCAAAATACGGATGATACTTCCTGTCATATAATTCCTGGGCAAAGAAATTTCTCCTCCCTTTCGCTCCTAAGCTTACTTCATGGGAAAAACATGTATCCATTTTTCCATGGTCTCACAAATACTGTATAACAAATAACTACAAAATCACAGTGTCCTACACAATAAATATTTGTCTGTGCTCTCAAATCTATGAGTTGGCCTAGAGGTTCCACTGATTGGTGGGACTACTTGTGCACCCAAGGTTAGCTGGCGGGTCAACTGGGTGGGGCCTGGCTGGTTTAGGATGCGGTCAGTAGAGACAACTCTTTCTGCTGCAAGTAGTTTCTCTCTCAGCAGATGAATCTGGGCTTGTTCTTACGGCACAGTAGGGTTCAAACAGAGCCAGGAAAGCACAAACATATGGTCATTTCTACTGCGTTCTGCTAACCTAAGCAAGTCACAAAACTAGTCTACATCCAAGGGGTGGGGAAAGGGACTCCACATCTTGAAGGGAGGAACTGAAAAATACCAGTGCAAGGGCATCAGAACAGGGCAAGTGGAGGCTTGGGTCAATTTGCCATCAATCCACCACAGTCAGATTGCACCCTTTTTGCAGGCAGGCAGATCCAACGAAAGATGGAGGAAAGGGCAGAGCTGATCCTGCTGCTTTCTTCCCCAAAAGAAAAGGAAACGAGGAAAAGAAAGAGGAAAGATTAACCATCCACAAGATACCTGATGCCAGGCGAAAGGATAACCTCTAAATGTAGATTCATTTATCTACACAACGTTACCAATCCAGCCAACTCAACGCAAAATAAAATGAAATAAACGAGTAAAAGCAAAATCAGCATTTAGTGCCGTAAAAACCACATTGCTGGCTAATTAAATCTTTCACACCCTCACGAATTGCTTTGCTGACTTTTTGTCAGGTAAACACAGTATGTTTGTTTGTTTCTCATGAAGATGCTATGCATTTGGCTTTTCCAACAAACTCAAACAACTTCACTTGAAAGATTTCAGTTTGTGTTTTAATTACTTCAAATCATAAAATAGAATATTAGACATCTAGAAATGGCTTGGTTTCTTCTTGAAAATTCTTAAAATCTGTGGTTACTGAATCAGAATATTAAGTTTAGGATAAATGCAAAGTAAACGAGTGACCTCTGCCACGTTACATGTAATGATTTTAACTTGATGAAATGATCTAGAGGAATCTATTTTTTATGGATTTGCTCAAAAAAAGCCAGCCTCTAATTAAGTATTCTCACTATCGCCAATCACAAAGTAATATTTGAGGATATTTTCACTGACTACTATCACAATCAAACCTGGTCAAGTCCTTAAGCCAGAAAAATAAAATTTGTTTTATTTTATAACAAAAAATATTAGCATATTTATTTACATACACAATATATAATACAAAGTATTTTATTTTATATTGGTTTCTAATGTAACTACAGTTTGTCATGTTATAAAGTTTTCCTATTGTTTTTCATATTTACTTTAGAAATTTTGCATAGCTTTATAACTTAATAGAATTAAATCCTTTTTATTGATCTCACAGCTCTAATGTAAAAAAGAATAAAATACCTTTTTACATGTAAGTATTTGCAAGTGCTACAGGTATTTAATATGTTATATATCTAAAAAATTTTGTATAAAATGGAAATTAAGAAATACAAGCTAAAATATATCTGAGTCAAAATCTCAACACTTTCACTCCACACCCCGATGATAATTCTGCTCCCACCAAGTGAACAAAGTATTGTAGAGAAGCAGAAAGAAGACCCGTGGAAGCAGTTGTTCAAAAAGTCATTCAAGTATTTAAACTTCTGAAGTTCAACCCTTATACTATCGTTTAAAAAAATGTACAGATATCAAAATGTAATAGAAAAAATGTCACGTCAAATCTCTACCTTCAATCCTTCTATAAGATAGGCTTTGAGGAAGAGGTCTTCAGGCAGCTACTGCTGTTATGTGCTCAGATACTTTCTCAACACATTCACCTCCTGTAACGGATCCTAGCCCTCTGATCGTAGCAGTGAGTACCTGAGATTCTCTGGGCCAACTGACTCTACTCTCCTGGAATTGAACAGGACTGATGACATACAGAGTAAGAGGTAGTTAAAACTTCCCAACTGATGGCTGCACCTTAGAGGTTCCAGGAACTTTCTTTATCTGGATATTCATAACTCTGCTGGGTACTGTCTTCACAAAGCAGGATTGCCCACCTTTTCCTTCTATTTCTGAGCTATGTCAGTAGCTCTTCAGGAAACCCTGCTTCTTTCTCAGGTTAGTCAATGGTAGATTTCACTGTTTCAACTAAAGAAGTGTAACTCCTGATCTTCTATGACAGTTTTGAGGAGCTCAAACTCTCATTCATTCAGCCAGTCATTCTTACTTTCAACAAATCTTTTTGAGTATCTATTATGCGTTAGGTGCCAGGCCACAGAATAAAAAGATGAGCAAGATATGTTTGCTGTTCTTCAAAAGTACAACTTTATAGTTAGGAAAACAGAGTTATACAGATAATTGCATTGGAGTTCTCTGACTGTTTTAAGTACAAGATGCTACAGGACTGAGGAGCAGGGTCACAAAACTCAACTGTGAAAAGAGAGGGGCTGCCTTTTGAAAAAGTTGGTACAAACACCAAGCACTAAACTACACATCTTTGTGAATGTGACTTCTGCTTGGGGCGTTCTGAGCACTGAGAAATCATAAAAGCGAATGTCCAATGAGGAAAAGGCAATATAGTGTACAAGAAACTACCAGAGTTTGGTGTTGAGTATGAATTACGGCACTGGGGGTGAAGATAGATATCAAGGAGTTAGGACATTGTTCCTTATATAATTTTTTATGAATACTTTGAAATTAGACTGTTTAGCTCTTCTGCAATAAATCTGTTAAGTGATCCACAAATTCTTACACTATTTCTGCAATTCAATCGTAATTGAATGATCTGCTTACAGTAAGTAATCAGTCACAAAGAGAGAGACCAATATCATTTTTTTCAGATATGAGGTCTTGCTATGTTGCCCAGTCTGGCCTCAGACTCCTGGGCTTGAATCATCCTCCCACCTCTGCCTCCCTAGTAGCTGGAACTGTTGATGCACACCACCATGCCTAGCTCACTATTATCAGTTGCTAATTTTCTTAAACAAAATCAGAAATGAACATTGATTTTATGATCAAGGATCTTTTGACCTATGCTCAGTGTCTTAGTTTATTTTTCCTGCTGTAACAAAATACCCAAGACTGGGTAATTTATAAACAAGAAAAACTTGTTTTTTACAGTTCTGGAGGCTGGAGGTCCATGATCGAGTCGCCAGCAGGTTAGTTATCTAGTGAGGGCATGATCTCTGCTTCCAAGATGGCGCCTTGTTGTGACATCCTCCAGAAGGAGCAAACTCTGTGTCCTCACATGATGGAAGGGACAGAAGGAAATGAACTTCATCCCTCCAGCCATCTCATAAAGGCCCTAGTTTTACCCATCCTCACAACTTATTCACCCCCTAAAGAACCTACCTCCTTGTACTATCACATTGGCAGTTAAGTTTTAACATATGAATTTGGGGGAGCACATGTAAACCGTAGCATTCAATCAACACAAGGATGTATCAAGCCACTGAAAATAGCAGAACACATGGCAGGGGAAATATGCCTGGTAAGATTATGTAGAGTCATAAAATTAAACTCCATAATAATGAAGTTCTGCTAACCACATACCTTTTTCTTAATATCGCTGTAATCTAGATTGTCTACTTCTGCTTTTAGTTTTGGTAACATGTCTTAAATATAATTTAAGAAGATTTTTTCTTTCTTTTTTCGTTTTCTTGTTGAACAATACAGACTTCAGCATATGCCTTAGATTGATTATCTCAAATGTCACTCACTTCAGGTGTTATCCTGGCCAGCATTCTAACAAGTGAGCATTCTGAAGGAAGCAATTGCAATATTTATTCCCTCTGGCAAGTGGCAGCAGATGCTTAGCATTTTAATGCTCATTTGCAACAGCCAATGTTTTGCTTTAACAAAGCAGTTGTCTTTTCAAAATTGAAAGCCCTTTGATAACAGAAGTTCTATTGTTGGACAGAAAAGAGAGATAAGACCACAAAAATTCGAATTAAGGATGTTGACCTCTCATAACCTTTCCATCTTGGGTCTTAGACACAATTTCATTCTATGGCTTCTGCAGGTATCCTCGGAGATGAAATTAAGTATGTCTAGGCTCCAGGTAATTATTTTTCCCCACACCTGCTTTCTCGCAGTCTGATGCAGACACCTGCACACATTTTTGGAAAATGAAATTAATTCAGAGAAAGGTACATTTAAAGGTACTGTTTCCTATTAAAGGAATTTCACTTTAGAAATAAAAAGATGTTTGATTTTCCATTTTAGCTGCCTGATTCCTCATCCTCTAAGAAGTATATAATCCCTTGACCTGGGGATCCTAACCACCCCCATAAAATAATGCCCAAAACATTTTTTCTTCATTAAATGCTGCTGTTTTTCTTCTTTAATCACTTGGCCCTTCCAAGTGTTTCTTCCTTTTATAATAGGTATACCAAAAAACACTTGGCTCCATGTTACTTCACAGATTTTCATAAGCAATAATTAGCTCTATTCTCCTTTGCAGCTCAGGGAAGCAAAAGTTAGAAGGAATTGCACCTGGAGCAGCTCCCCACATCCCCCACCCAGCACTGGGCCTAAGATGTCTCCATCAGGATGCTACTGGTTCTGACTCAGCAGTTATCAGCAAAGAGCTGAGCACACAATTCCTAAACAAGGATACATGTCTACAGAAATGATGGAGAAGTGCTTCCGTTTCTCTAAAACATATTAACTTTGGCCATTAGGCAGCTTCAGAGTGAATGGCACAATGAGATGAGACTGGACACTTTGTGGGGGTGGGGGACGAGGTGCTGACAGCCAGAGGGCTTATCATTAAAAGAGCATTGGCTGTTCTTGAGGACATAGAAAGACCCAATGGATCGATGGATCGATAAGCACTAGTAGTGACACTATCATTCATTTGATTTACATTTTGAATTATCGGTAACATTCATTCAATACATAATTTTTGGGAAGGGAAATTGTAATTAAGCTCTCTATGGAAAAGAAGGCAATGTGGCAACGTCTGCCCACTATGATACCAAAGAAGCTATTTCCGGAAGAGATTTTCTCAGTGTTTGTTGAAGAAAGGTCCCTTTGCCTCCTCTTCATAATCTTGGTCTGTAGTTTCCTTTTCCTCCACTAATATTCTCAATCTAGTAGTTATGACAAAATATTTTTCTATTTTTTAAAAATAATTTATTGGATAAAACTCTAGGGAAAAAGAATAAATACAGTCCATGTCCTCATGGAGCTTAGAGTCTAAAGGGAGACAGGTTGGCACCTTGGGTATGAGACCAAGGGAGTGAAGCTTATAAGGTGAACTTTCTGAACTTGGTAGTTTTTATGAGTCTTATGTTTTTATTATACAATAAACTGCATCTTTCTTAAGACCTGAACCATGACTATGATCTCTTTATGTTGCCCACATCAGTTGGTATGGCTATTTGTACTTAGTGAGTAATCAGTGTTTGATTGTGAAAAAGAATGATGCTGAATGTTGTCTGTAAGAATTGTTTTAATGTTCCCTCTGCCAAGGCAGATTAAACAGATTAAAGCAAATGCATTTTCACTGCAAACAAACCAGTGACTATTAAAGTGTCTTGGAGTCACAAGGGATGATTTTATTGTTAGTGCTATACCTAAAGAGAGAGGGGCCTGCAGTCAGTATAGACTCAGACAACCTCATCACTCCAGCTGTGAGAACAAAACTTGAAGTCAGTTTGCTCCTCTGTGCAAGACAGAGAAAAATCATTAACAAACAGTTCAAATAGGGATTTGGTTTGAGTCCCTGGGAATTAGCTAAATGACAGAAAACGAAGGGAAGCAGCAGAGTAAGACAATGAGGTGAAGAGGGGCAGGAATATGAGACTTTGCACCTGCAGGGGTCAGACTCTAAGATGCCCCACTATGGCCCCACCTCCTGATAGGTACCCTTATATCTCCTGTCCTTGAGTATGGGCGGGACCTGTAACTTGCTTGTGACCAATAGAATATGGCAAAAGTGATAAATGTCCCTTCCATGATGAGGTTACATGAGATTGTTATTTCTGCCTCACTATCACATGCTATTGCCTCCTTATCTTGACTTGCATCTTTTAATAAAGCAAGCATCCATGTTGTAAGCTACATGGTAGGAAAGTGTTAGTGATGACAGCAAGGAACTGAGGGTCTCAAGGAAACAATTTGAAAGCAACTGATTCCTGCAAACAACCAGGTGAGGCTGGAGGCAGTTATTTCCCTCATTAGCTCTTTAGATGATACAGCAGGGATAGCTGACTTCTTGATTTCAGCCTGTGACCAGGAAAGAGGAGACCCAGCTAAGCCACGCCTGGACTCCTGAACCACAGAAACTGAATGAGTCTTGTTTGAAGCTCCTAGTTTTGGTAATTTATTACATAACAACAGATCATTAGTAAACTCTCTGTGGCTTGGTGGGTTCCCATGGACTGGAATCAATGAGAGGCACCCACACTGAAAATGGTCAATCATCTGAATATGATCACTTCTGTGGGGAGTGCTGGCACTCAGGGATATGGTATGAGTGTTAATTTTATGTGTCAACTTGACTAAGCCATAGCATCAACACAGAGATTTGGTTAAACATTATTTCTTGGTGTGCCCGTGAGGGTGCCTCCAGATGAGATTAGCATTTCAATTAGTAGACAGAGTAGAGCAGATGCCCTCCCCAAAGTGGTGAGCTTCATCCAATCAGTCGAAGGTCTGAATAAAAAAACATCAGAGTTAAAATGGATACTTTCTGCCTGATAGTCTTTGCACTGGGACATTTGTCTTCTTTTGCCTTTAGATTCAGACTCAGCTGGAACTTACACTATTAGCTTCCTGGTTTTCAGGCGTTTAGACTTGAACTGGAACTATAGCTTCAACTTTCCTGGGTCTCAAGCTTGCTGATTTCAGATTTTATACTTTTCGGGCTCTAAAAATCACATGAGCCAATTTCTTAAAGAATCTCTCTCTCTCCTCCCCACCTGTTGCATATATAGCTATATGTATATATACACACATACATATATATGTGTGTGTGAATATATATGAGATTGTGTATGTATATAATTGTGTATGTATAGCATATATATCTGTATTGTGTATATTGTATGTATATATATATTATATATGTATAATTGTGTATATATAACATATATATCTGTATTGTGTATATTGTATGTATATCTATTATATATGTATAATTGTGTATATATAATCATGTGTGTATGGGTATATACATATATATGTGTATATGCACACACATACATATAAATATAAAGTAATGATTTAGATATTTACTTCAGCTATTAGCCAGTACTGTGGCTTAGTTGGTTGAAGCTGCTGTCTACTAAGTATTTACTTCAGGTATCAGAGGAAACTTGCATTATTAGAAGCTAAGAAGCAACTAACACTGCTGGTTTGACTAAATGTCCTATGAAATAGATACCCTGAAACCTATGTTTGCAGGATCTCAAGAAGACTTTATCCACATTAACCTTACTAAGCCTTACATCACCTCTGTCACTATTATCATATCCCCATTTGAAAGATGTAGAAAGAATCAGACTGGAAAGTGTAATAGGGAGCCCAAGGTCACAAGCTTGTGTGTCTGGAATATAAAACCTTTAAGAGTTGGGCATTTGGGATGTTTTCTTTTTTCATATTGACAAGAACTAGTCATACAAGTGACAGCTTAGGAAGACTATTATTTGTAAGTCCCCTCCTCTCTTTTCCAAGTCTTTTGCATAGCCATTTTCATAAATGCTCATGAATTATACATCAGTAGCATCTCTTTGTATTCTGAATGCACTTACACTTCAAAGAGTTGTCAATCTTGAATTATTTTGCTTATTTTTCCTTTATTACCCTTCATTTCTGCTAAACAGTGTTCCTGCTAAAGGCACATTGCACCTTGCCAAAGCCCTAAGAATTTAGAGTAGAAGAAAACACTTCCCTCTTCTTATTCATATTTTATCCTCTAAATTTCAGAATGTTATTCTGACTTCTGACTA